AAAAAAAAAAAAAAAAAAAAAAGAATATATTCTTATCTTTATTTTTAGTGCTTTTCTTTCAGTGATCTTGTTTTCTTTAGGTCTAGGGCTATAATAACCATTTCGAGGAGAATTTTCCCAGTGCAACTTTTGAGCTGAAGGAAGCAGGACAAGAGAGCTGATCTCAGGTCTTTGTTGATGAATCTAGAGGTGGAACGAGACCACCTGCCCACCCTCTGCCCACTCCTGAATCCCGCTATCACCAGAGAAAAACACATGACTGACGTCATCTCATTCTAAAAGGATGGCAACGTACTATATCTCATTTTGACACTCAACGCTGTTGGCAATCCTATTACACTTCCCTAGCATAGCCATCTTCATACTTTCTAAAATGATCATTTCCCCCCTTGTTTTGTCTTGCTAAGTCTCCTAAAATTTCTCATTCAGCCAATCATTTTCCTCCTATTTATTAAAACAAACAACAGCAGCGGCAGTAAATCAGACAGGAACTTTCTCATCTTCCTAGCACTAAATCTACCCACCCATTTGTATGTCAGTCCCACTGCCATCTTCCTGTTCATGCAAGAGTCCCTACTTTTATCTAAGGCCAACTCTTCTGCTTTAATCAGAATCCTATACTTCTTGCCCTCTCAGGGACTTGGCTTCTGCAATAGTTGTCTTCTATTCTGCATCACAATCTTTTCCTCTTCAGTGGAATTTCAGTCAGTGTATGAATATGCTCTAACGTGTCCTGTCCCAAACAAAGAACACATGTTTGATACACACTGAAACCAAGCAGGACCCTGTGGGGCTCCTGGGCATGGAAGCCTGTCTGTGTCCCCCGTTTCTTGTTTGTAGGAAGTAGGCTTCAACCTCCATGACCTGCCCCAAATTCCAAAGGGCAGGTTCAAACAGTTGCTAATCAGGGAAGGGAGGGAATGCAGAGACAGGTGTAGCAGCCAAAAAACATTAGCCTTGGGGCAGGGTCCTGGTTCCACCTCAAGGGATATGCATAACAATATCTTTGAGCTCTTCTGCAAAACTAAAACCCCCAACAAATGGAAGATATTAGCTACTTGATGAAGCATTCTTCATTCCAGAGAGAAGATCACAGTTTGATAACTTTGAGAACCACAGAAGCTCATCAAGAGACAGCCTGGGGCCAGATTAAAGAAATGTAGGCCCTACACACACCCTGATCCTTATCAGCAGCCCCAACTTTGAACCATCGTTATAAAACCCCTCACCAAATCCCCCCAGGTTGGGACACACAGTTTTTGAGGACACAAGCCTTCTGTGTCAGAGCCCCTTTTCCTGACAAAGCAATAAAGCTATTCTTTCCTGCTTTACCCAAAACTCTGTCTCCAAGATATGATTAGGCACCAGTGCATAGATGTGAGTTTTCCACATCAACATCTCCCTCAAGCTGCATTTCCATGTCTCTGGTGGTGTTGGCAGTCTTAGGGTTATCTGGAGCTGGTATCTCTCCCTTGCTCACCACACATTCTCCCCTTAAACTCCTCCTCCTCATGCCTGAATCTAACAGTCCCACCTCTGTATTATTTCACTGGAACTCCCAGCAGCGTTCAAGACAGGTGATGACCCTCTCCTTTTTCAAAGCAATACCGAATGGGTCTATCTGTTAGCTAGTGCTTCCCAAAGCATCACACCAAAACTCAGTGGCTTAAAATAACAATTTACTGTTGCTCGTGAGTCTATGGGTCTTCTGGGCAGTTTATATGGTCTCTTCTTTTCTCACTCAAGTGTGATGGTCAAGTGCAGGTAACGTGGTTCTGCTGATCTAGGCTAGGTTCTTACATGCTGTGGGTTGGCTGGTTCTAGGATGGCCTCAGGTGCAAATTTCAACATTGGCAGCTTTGCATACTCTGGCCAGCTCTGTTCTAGCTCAGTCCCTCTGTAAGGTAATAAGGCTGATTTACTGGTGGCAATTTTTGATTCTGTGTGTGTCTGTGTGCTAATATAGAGGAAAAGAATCTGAAATATTTTTATCCCTGTACATTTCTGTGAATGGCATGGTTTTGTTTTCAGATACAATGGAAATGAGTAAGAACTTGATGGAATCATTTTTCATGTTGCAAAGGAGCAAAACAAAAATAAAGGAGGATTCAAAGCATCCTTAGGTTATTCCATTTCTGTGTGAAGACCTGTGGGAACAGAAAAAGCATTTTAGGATAAGGGCATGTGCAAAAAGGTCAACTTTTTTTGTGACTGAGAAAGCTATCAGAGATAATCGAGTTATCTCTGAAATATGTAAAACCTTCTTCATATGTAAATAAAATAAACCCTGGTGGCTCTACCTTCTGTGAGAGTGTAAGAGTTCTTGAACAATGACTCATTCAGTTAGGCAAAGACATGCCTATTTACATATTTGAATGTAAAACTCTATGTGTTACAGAGAATCTAGGAAGCTGGGTATCAGTACACACTACTGCCAATATAGCATGCAGGGTGGATATGGGGGTCAAGGAAAAGTTACCAAATACTACAGAGGTAGATGAGAAAATGCCAAGTAGTGGGTACTGCTCTTTGAAATTGGTTTGATTTGATTGGTGGATTAAATGTTGAAGGCCTATAGGGATCATTTATTTCAACACCATTTTGTCTATTAAGCCATTAGAAAAGAATCTGAAGCCCAACAGGACATAGAGAGGACATAAACAGGACATAGACATAGACAGGACCTAGAGAGCTTGGGGCACAGCCAGGACCAGACTCACCCAATCTTCATCCTTGTCTTCTGGCTGTGGGCACTACTTTACTGCTGAGAAAACTCTTGTACTGATTTTAGTGTGTTTCCGTCGTGCTTAAGGCTTAAAAAAGTATCCTATCTCCTCTGCAGGAATTTATTAACATGGGTGTTCTGGACACTATATGAGCTTTTTACATCCAGAAAATTGACATCTTGATGGTTTTCATGGGACAGGGTATTTAAGATATTTTTCATGAGATTAGATCTTCAAGGCAAATCACAAGTCTGTGTTTTTCAAAGTGATCTTTTCACATGAATGACTTTTCAAATACGCTGTTTTACTCATTGTTTTACATGTCTTGATCTGTAGGATAGAGTAATTGAATTCTCCAAATCTGTGTTGAGCTGGAACTCCTCCATGGCTACCCTCATTTTATGGAGGTAACTTTACTTGATGCCTTCACCTCCTCCTCCAATCTTCTCCTCCCCCTGAAAAAATGAGGGGCAGTGTCCTAGGAAAGGTTGATACCTTTCCTAATTAACTGGGGAATCAGTTGTCTTTCCGGTAAATGGAGAGATCTACCACATGAAACCAGTAAGCTAACCTGTTTGGCTTTCTTGGCCCCCAAAGTTGGGAAAACAAATGGAATTCAAATTTTCTTCTATTAACCTAATGTGAATGTATGATTGAATATTTCTGAGATCTAAAACGATGGTAAAATTTTAACTTTGTCTGTTAAAAGGAAACAGTGATGCTAGTAATCTAAAACAATGATCAGTTAGAATCATTACAGTTTGTATTTGGAATTGAGTATACAAATAATTTGGTAACAATGAAAATTTCCTAATTAAATTTTGTTTGCAGTGGAATTAAAATTTGTCTCTATATATTATTGGAAGATCAGAGTACCCAGGATTCTTAATGATATAAATGTAGAAACTTTTCAGAGAGGGAGCAGGGTCAGTACTGAAGCCTGGGGACATTGGAGTCATATTTCCAGATTGAAGCCCCAAATTGTCAGAGTTTCTCAAGCAACTCTAGGCAAGTTTCCTAATCTCTGTTTCGCATTTTGTAAAATGGGGATGCTAATACTACTCACCACAATGGGATCAAGATAATTTATACATTGCACTTGAAATACCTGGTACTTAACAAGAAATTAGCTGTGACTCTCTAGGCAATTGGGCTAATGGCACACTGTTTTAGTCCATTCGAGTTGGTGGGGGGGCTCCTGTAACAAAGTACCACAGACTGGGTGGCTTATAAATAACAGAAACTTATTTTTCATAGTCCTAGAGGCTAGAAGTCTGAGATGAAGGTGCCAACGTGGTCAGGTTTTGATGCAGACCCTCTTCCAAGCACGGGCAGAGGGCTTATTGGATCCTAACCTGGCAGAAAGAGGGTGAGCGCCCTCTGGCCTCCTTCAATAGGGCACTAATGAATCCCATTCACAAGGGTGCCACCCTCATGACTTAATTATCTCCCAAAGGCCCTACCTCCAAATACCATGACATTGGGAATTAGATTTCAGCCTATGGATTTTGGGGCAATACAAACATTCAGGTTATAATACATACTAACCTACTATGTCTCCTGGGAGGTTTTGTTGTTGTTATTTTGTTTTTTGTTTGTTTGTTTGGTTTTGGTTTTTTTAGCCTAAACATGTATGCTAGCAACTCATTTAATTGTCATTTAATTTTTTTTAACATTTCTGCTAGAAAGAGAAGAATATTTGTTTTGTTGAGGTTAGGCAGAGAGGATGGTTATATAACCCATTACTCTTTAAGTACCTATGTATCTATCTGTCTATCTATCATCTCTCTTTCTATCTATGAAGTTCTTATTCTTCTTTGAACTAGTGATAACATCTTACTGGTTTCCTCATTGATTATTAAATTAAATAAAATCCTTAACATATATTCATTTTATATCTGGATCAGAGTCATGATTATATCTCCCTTAAAAATGATCTTTTAACAACTGCAACTAAGAACACATTTTCTATACCGATAAAAAGGAGAGGAAGTTAAAAAAAAAAACCTACACCCACTAAAAAATGGTCAAGTCCATTTTCTTCTTCAAGTTCAAAAAATATGTTGCCCTACATTCCTGACTTACTCCGAGTTAAAAGACAAGGTCATAGCTATTACCAGGAAAGCTGTAACAACTTTTTTGTTGGTTTGCTTTTAAATTCAGTATTCATGTATGAATTATGTCACATTATAATCTGTAGATGTCTAGTAAATTTAAGATGTACAGTTCAAATCTCTTAATATAAACATGAAACCATAAGCAACCAGGGGGCATGCAGACACCGTTTATTGAACAATGGGGTGCACATTTAGTTGGCAATTCTGTAGTTTGCGTGGATTTCTGGTTTCACGTCACAGACGATGCTCAAAAGCTGGTTGATCACACTTTCCATGGACTTGTTGTAGCTTCCATTCAGTTCTTTTATCTTCTCTAGCGTTTGCGCTTCTATTTCTTCCGAGATATTACTCTGAGAGCCCATTATCTGCCAAAATAAAACAGACAATTCACTGCATTATACATCATATTAAAATTTAGTTGTTTTGTAAGAGTAGTATCGACATATATACACTACGGAATGTAAAATAGTTGGCTGGTGGGAAGGAGAAGCATAGCACAGGGAGATCAGCTTGGTGCTTTGTGACCACCTAGAGGGGGGGGATAGGGAGGGTGGGAGGGAGGCTCAAGAGGGAGGGGATATGGGGACATATGTATGCATATGGCTGATTCACTTTGGTGTACAACAGAAACTAACACCGTATTGTGAAGCAATTATACTCCAATAAAGATCTATTAAAAAAATTTAATTGTTTTGTAAGTTAAATTCATTTTGGCTTGTTTGTCATTTACATTATGCATTATTTTTCCAGAACTTTTTCAGAGAATGGGTAAGATCACCAGTATTATGAGTGGGATGGATACACTTTTCTAAAAGAATATTATCTGCAAAAAAAAAAGTCAAACCTGAATCACTATGCTGTGTAAATCAACTATTAAAAAAAAAGGAAGCTGGCCACAACAGGTGACTTCTACTTCTAAATTGACCTTCACACAGTACAAATTGAATGCAAGTTCACAGTCATTATACCATGCTCAGAAATTTTTTCATGTATTGATATTTATAATAGTTTCCATTGAATTCCTGTATTTTACCTTTTGCTTACTTTCTGTATTAAAAGTCTGGAAAATAAAGTTGAAAGGCATCATTAAACCCATTTTGCTGGTCTTTAAAGAGCAAATACCTGGTTTGTCAATTTTTAAAATACATTATCTGAACTCATTAAATCTTTTTTTTTGCTGTACGCAGGCCTCTCACTGTTGTGGCCTCTCCCATTGTGGAGCACAGGCTCTGGACGCGCAGGCTCAGCAGCCACGGCTCATGGGCCCAGCCGCTCCGCGGCATGTGGGATCTTCCCGGACTGGGGCACGAACCTGTGTCCCCTGCATCAGCAGGCGGGCTCTCAACCACTGCGCCACCAGGGAAGCCCTTTTTTTTTTTTTAAGAAAGATACAGCCACAGTATGCTCAATAAGATACTTTCACAAGCACAGGTGTACCTTTTTTTAGGTATTAGATATAATCTTGAAAATTTTGGTATAAATTGGGATATACAGACATTTGGTCCCTAATTTTTATGGCTCGAGTTACAATTTTTTGATGGTGTGAAAGTGATACAAATTCAGTAGAAACTGTACTTTGAATTTTGATCTTTTCCCGGGCTAGTGATATTCTATACAATACTCTCTTGTGTTGCTGAGCAATGGAGGCCACAGCTCCCAGTGGGCCCAGTGATCTCAAGGGTCAACAACCCTTATACTCACACCCATTCTGTACCCAAACAACCATTTGGTTTTTCACTTTTGGTACTGTATTCAATCAATTACATGAGATATTCAACACTTTATTACAAGATCAGCTGTGTTAGATGACTTTGCCTAACTGTAGGCTAATGACAGTGTTCCAATCACGTTTAAGGCAGGCTGGGCTAAGCTATGATATGGGTAGATTAGGTGTATTCAATGCATTTTCAACTTTGATAGTTTCAACCTACCATGGGTTTATCAGGAGGTAAACCCACCATAAGCTGAGGAAGATCTGTACTCGTCCATCTAGTTCCATTGTAATTTTAGACTTCTGTTTAACTTATCTTTCTGATTGGTCTTTCATGGGCAGTGATTCCCAGTATTTCCCAGTACCTCCTCTATCTCTTAGCCTCTCTGTCAAGTAATGATATGACTGAAATATAATTTTACCAGGGGAGTTACCAGTTTAAAGGGATTCTGCAGAGAAACCCTTTGTAAGGTTATCCTTTGCTAAAGCAAACAGACAACTCCTAATTTTATCTCCTTTGTAAACTCAGCCTTTCTTGAACAGGACATTGTGAAGGCAACACAGCTGGTTTTTCTCTTCCATGGGTGTTTATGGAAAGTATGCATTTAATTTAGTCCAAGAGACCTCACTAATGATTGATTTTTTACTTCAAGGTAAAGAAGTCTATTCTAAATTCTAGAATCCACATGATCTTTCTGGGTCCCAAACTTGAAATCAAATGCAATTGAGGTGATCAGGTTCAAGTTCTTTTCTGTTTATAGTCTAGGCAATTGGGGCCTCCTAGTTCAAAGAAAGTCATTTTGGGGTGATATAGCTTCTAAGACATCAAATGACTTTAATAAAATAACATTTTGATAAGTGAGTATACAAGAAGCACAGACATGTGGACGAAATTTCCCTTGCTATGAAGATACTGAAAAATAGAAGAGAACTACTTACCAAAATAGTTCTACCAGAATAAAATTTTTCCTCTAAATCCAATATTGGATTTTTTGTGAGTTTGATAGAGTCTACCAAACTCAAAAAAAAATTATTGTTTCTAAATTCAATGTCTTAAGTGGTGAAAAATTTAAAAGACACACAGTTATGAAACTATTGTCTACTTTTCTTTGGAGTCGTGTTAAAAATAGTTATTATTAGGCTAAGTTATTGCAACTGTCCTGAAGGACTTTGGAAAAGTTCACCTCAACCTTAGGCTCTTTATTTTTATTGGAGTGTATTTGCTTAACAATGATGTGTTAGTTTCCGCTGTACCACAAAATGAATCAGCTATAGGTATACATATATCCCCTCCCTCTTAAACCTCCCTCCCACCACCCCCATCCCAGCCATCTAGGTCATCACAGAGCCCCGAGCTGAGCTCCCTGTACTATACAAAAGCTTCCCACTACCTATTTATTTTACACATGGTAGTGTATATATGTCAATGCTACTCTCTCAACCTTAGGCTCTTTATTTTTTAAATGGGGATAACATCACCCATTTGATGCGATCATTTTAAAAATTCAGCCAGATTCATGAATGCAAAGTGGTGCTGTCCAACAGAAATGTAATAGCCCCAAAGTGAGCCATGTAAGTAATTTTAACTTTTCTAGAGTTGTATTTTAAAAATTGGTAAAATTAACTTGAATAATATTTTTATTTAACCCAATATAATCATACTACTCTTTTAATATACAGTGTAATATTATTGCATTATTGTTTGTCATACTAAGTCTTTGTAATCTGGTATGTATTTTACCTTTATAGAACGTCTTAATTTGGACTAGCTACATTTCAAGTGCTTGGTAGCTACATGAGAATTACCATCATTTTTGACAGTGCAGGTCTAGGGCGGCAGATGACAGCCACTAGTATTCGTTATATTCTTAAGGTGCTTTGTTAAGGCAACATGATAATTTTCTGAAGATATTTATTATGAAGACGGTGTTTAGCACAGAAGCTTAGCACTGAGCAAATAATCAGTAAATGTTAGTAATGATTATTATGATTTCTCACTGTGTTGCTTGTACTTTAAAATTTGTATAATCCATCTTAAACTTTCAGAAACATTGGAATACCCTTGTCAACAACCCATACTCCTATGTCTCATGCTGCATAATTATATGACATTATTTCTGAGTTTATTTGACCTGCAATAATTTGAGTTTCTGCACTGTTTCCTAGATGGTACGATAACGTGACTCACCATACACCACTTTAAATGGTCTTCCTTGGGAAGAATTGCATTTGTATCTGAAGACAGTGCTACTTTAAGCCATGTAGGAGTTTAAATGAATGAATGTAAGCTCCACAAAGGGAGGGATAAGTGTCATCTCGTCCACTGATGAGTTATAACTGCCTCAAACATTGCCAGGCACATAGTAGATGCTCAATACATATTTGTTGAACAGAATAGAATGAGCAGATCACCAGGTGTTACAGAGAACTTATTACCTGTTCTACTGTTCTTCTTGGCCAAAGCCTGCTGCTTGAATATTTGGGACACTGTATAAATTAGAAGTTGATAATTAAGTGACAACTAATGGCACATTTGGTTGAAGGGCACAATTTAAAGACTTCTCTATGTGTATTTTCAAACCTTCAGTGTTGAGACTGATGTGTATAGCTTTACAGCTTAATGACTGATGGTGTTGGTGAAATCTTTCAGCATTCAATAAGTTTCTTTTTAAGTTGTTTACATGTTCCAGTTTAAGGGCAATCAGAGGTTCAGGTCCCACACACAGTTTTGCGTTCTCAATTTGTGGTTGCTTCAAGGAAACAAAAATGTTTTCATGATATGAATTTAGGAAGAAAGATTAAAGACAAAAATCTTCAATATGCCCAGGGCAACCATTTTCAGGTCTTTGGTTTACATGAATGGTGCATCTAACTTTTACTTGCATTAACGGTGGATTTAATTTTTCCACTGTAGTAGTCCAGATTTCTTTTTATCTTCTTCGGTAGAAGATGTTATTTTGTAGGACTTTTCCAAAGTTCTACAGGATGGTTGCAGTAACTCCATCACTATAGTTTTGTCTTTTTGAGAATATCGTATAAATGGAATCACACAGTATATATTTCGTATCCAATATAAACGAAATCAAACAGTATAAATGACGGCCTTCTCTCACTCAGCATAGCATCTTTTTTAGAGTCACCCAAGCTGTTGCATATATTTTTAGTTTGGTCTTTTTCATTGCTGAGTGGTATGAAATTCTAGCAAGGGATAAAGTGAAACAAGGAATAAGTAAATAAGCAAGGGATCAGTAAATCTTTGTTATAAAAATATTCGTTGATATACAGCCCACATTGGGATACTTGCTTCTATTGACAAGTCAGGGGAGTTGGAAAAACCCAGACATTAACAAGAGCTAAAAAGCAACCAAAAAAGTAGCATCAAGGAGCAACCCCCACAGCAGGCAGAAAACTGGTTTCTTGGGTCTCCTCCCAGACCTCCCACATACCCTGGGTTAACGATGATGAGCTTTAACTGGAATAGCTCTGTGTCTGACATATGGAGGTCACGCCAGGAAAGAAGATCTGTGCTCATGGTTGACAATATGCTTGAGGTAGCGGAGACTTAAACATGCTGAACTTTTTATGTAAGCTTTTGATCAACTAGCTGTAAGATTGGCTTAGAGCTCTAATTATGAGAGCAATGAGGAATTTTAATTATTCTCTGACGCAGAGAACAAATATCCTGAACCAGTTTTACATTTTAGGAGATTCTTCTGGAGAAATAATATTTCAAGAGATTAAACCCAGCCACTTTCTAAAATGATGGTCAGTTTTGTAATTACTTAAAAATGCATATATTAGAAATATCCAACATAGGATCAAAAGAGCTGATTGGTGTGAAGAATGATTATTTTTTCAGGTCCTAATATGGCATGGTTATGACAGAACTCAGTAGGAAAGGTAAAGGCATGGAAGAGATGTTTAGCTCTTCATTCTTACTGGATACTGATTGGATACTTACTGTGGAGCAGACTCCATACCAATATCAAGGAAAGCAACAGAGAACAAAACAAAGAACCTGCATTTTGGTGCTTATAGTCCAGAAGGAAAGATAAACAATAAGCAAAATATGTATATATATAATATATCCAGTAGTGATAAATGCTATGAGTACAATGGGTACTTACTTTCTTTTTTTATGAGAGACACAATTTCAGATAAGGTGATCAGGAAGAAGAGCTAACAACTAAACAGAGATCAAGGAGAGATGAAAGTGTGTAAAAGAAGAAGATCCTCGGAATGGATAGAGCATAGGCAAAGGCCCTGCGGCAGCAGCCTGTTTAGTTCTTCTGGGGTAAAACAGGGAGACATATGGCGAGAACAGAACAAGTAGGGACAAAAGTAGTAGAAAAGGTTACAAATGACCAAAGTAGATATTGTTGTCTATTGCTGAAAAGTCTTCTGGTATTTCCTGATGATTTCCTTTTCAATTAGCTGGCTTCATTCCATAAATCCTTCATGAAAATATAAAGCAATGCTGTTTCCTACCCTAACATTTAAAAAATATCTGTGGTTCAGAGTAAAAGGTAAGTGCATGACATTTTCAGAGCTGACAGTTTAGAGAGATAGCCAAGGGCCAATCATAGAGGGCATATATGCATGTGTGGACTTGGGACTTTATGATTCCTTTTTCCAAATATCGATGAGAATTTATTTTCGCTGAGTGGTCCGCTTTGTTCTAGAAATGGCTTTTTATTTTAAGAAACAGCCCATTGGAAAAGTTTTTCCTACCGTGTAATCCAATTTACCTGATCCCACCTGAGCTCCACACCTACTGCCACTAAAATCAAAGCTGTTAACAGAAAGATTTACAAACTGCTTGTAGTTCATCTTGCAATGTCAGGCTTCTGCACAGAGCTTTATTTGTATTTTTGCTGAGGCAAAAAGAAAATATATAAACTTTAGTTATGGCACATGGAATTTAAGCCATATTGCAATCAGCTCTGAAAAATTCATGCGCATAGATATATATATATATATATATAGATATATATATATATATATACACATCTTTATTGGAGTATAATTGCTTTACAATGGTGTGTTAGTTTCTGCTTTATAACAAAGTGAATCAGTTATACATATACATATGTTCCCATATCTCTTCCCTCTTGCGTCTCCCTCCCTCCCACCCTCCCTATCCCACCCCTCCAGGCAATCACAAAGCACCGAGCTGATCTCCCTGTGCTCTGCGGCTGCTTCCCACTAGCTATCTACCTTACGTTTGGTAGTGTATATATGTCCATGCCTCTCTCTCGCTGCTTATATATCTTTTTTACTGTAAACTGTAGATATTTTTTTAAGTGTTAGTGTAGGAAAAAGCATTTCTTTATATTTTCCTAAAAGATTTGTTGAATGAAGCCAGCCTGTTGAAAAGGAAATCATAAGGAAATACCAGAAGACTTTTCAGCAATAGATAACAACATGTACTTGGGTCATTCCTAAATCTTGAATCCCCCAAAGGAAATTTGGCCTAACAAGTTCATTGTAGAACATTGTACAACACATTTTATTGATTCTATTAGTAAACGTTAACAGACAACAGCAACCAAAATGTTCTCTGATGTTTCTTTCTTTCTAAAATGTGTTAGTCAATAATCTGTTGTAGTTGTGGTTCGGGGGCTCTAGAGCACAGGCTCAGTAGTTGTGGAGCACGGGCTTAGTTGCTCCGCAGCATGTGGGATCTTCCCAGAGCAGGGCTCCAACCAGTGCCCCCTGCATTGGCAGGCCACAGCTACTGAAGCCCGCACACCTAGAGCCCGTGCTCTTCAACAAGAGGAGCCACCGCAATGTGAAGCCTGTGCACCGCAGTGAAGAGTAGCTCCTGCTTGCCTCAACTAGAGAAAGCCCACGTGCAGCAACGAAGACCCAACGCAGCCAAAATTAAATGAATAAATACATTAATTAATTATAAAAAAGAATCTGTCGTAGGAATAATACTTTAACCAATTCCATCCACTTGTATATTTGAGAATACGATTTTTAATCTACAGTGTGTTAGACAATAACTATAGATTGACACTCTCTATGCCAAATCAAAAAGCCTTGGAAGTGAACATGTAAAATCAGTAATTCTGCAACGTTTAAGATTTTGCTTGATGTTCAGCCTTGGTTGAACTATATTCGCTCCATCCAGGGTATTTTTCTCTCCTGGTAGTGTGCATGACACCTTATGAGGATTAATATCATTATTAGTGAATATTCATACCTTAGAGTCTATGCTGCAAAAAATCAGTGCTGACTTTCTTACTTACCTTAGCGTGTTTCTGTCGAAATTCCTGATCTCTCTGCATTCTGTACTGGTCAGTTTCTGCCATTGCTTCCTCCTTGGCTTGACGCAAACGCTTGGCTTTTCCTGAAAATTAACAGTGGTATAGAAGGAGCACTATTTTCTTTTCAACCCACCTGGAATTTACAACTTGATTTTTAAAAATATGGGTGAGGTCTTACATTATTATTATTATTATTTTTTTTTTTTTGCGGTATGCGGGTCTCTCACTGTTGTGGCCTCTCCCGTTGCGGAGCACAGGCTCCGGACGCGCAGGCCCAGCGGCCATGGCTCACGGCCCCAGCTGCTCCGCGGCATGTGGGATTTTCCCGGACCGGGGCACGAACCCATGTCCCCTGCATCGGCAGGCGGACTCTCAACCACTGCGCCACCAGGGAAGCTCTCTTACATTATTTTTTGACGCTTTTTTTTTTTTCTAGAATGACATCCTGCATTAAAACATGATAGATATTGAAAAATTCCTGGTTTTTTCAATTGGATTCTTTAGAACATGGAAATGACAACATTCTTTCACACCTCCATGTTTCAATAAAATATCTGCCCATTTACTCACAGCAGTACCAGCCAGAGAACAGATTTTAGCTGTCACTGAGTCAAAAAGACATTATTTGGTCAGACTTTCTGTCCTGATTTGCTGCCAGGAATCCTTCAGTCCATACCAACTGGATTCTATTGAATACTGGCAGATCTCCAAATGCACAAACATGCAGCTCAGACTCTATCAAACCAACTAACAATTTTTTAAAGCATTTTATTGGGTTTTTTCCTTGCCATTTGTTGACTCTAGAAAGTCTGATTAAGCCCCAGAGCACATCAAAGTAGATACTTTTTGTAGTAGCTTTCTCTGAGGGGGACTTGAAAGTGATTGTAAAACCAACCGTTTTTAATGGTTATGAGATTTAGTTAAGTAGCTCTCTTTTCTTTTATTAAGAGCAAAGATGTAAGCCTTAAGCCAGCAGACAGCAATGCAGATGAAAGTTTCAGACAAACACAAAGCTGTGGAGATCATTAGGTGAGCACATGACTTTTTTTGACAACCAGAGTAAGTTTGGGGGGTTATAGAGTAATAGTCATCGCTGCTAGGCACTCACCACCCACCACCTTCAGATACTAATGCTTTGTGATCATTAAAACTTTAAAGAAATTCTCAACTGTATTAAAATTAATTTGTCTCAGAATCTATCGTCTCTTTATTTTAGTTAAATGCCTTTATTCTTTTGCCCATTTAACATAGTTTCTTCTGTCTGATAAGGTCTCAAACTTTTGTTTTTAATTGTTGTCAAGGGTTTGTTATATGGTGTAGACTTTGAACTAAATAAGTGTATTTTCAGACATAGGAAACAAACTTATGGTTACCAAAGGGGAAAGGGGGGAAGAGGGATAAATTAGGAGTTTGAGGTTAACATATACACAGTACTATATATAAACGTAAGTTAGATAAAATAGATAACCAGCAAGGACTATATAGCATGGGAAACTATACTGAATATTTTGTAATAACCTGTAAGGGAAAATAATCTGAAAAAAAAATATATATATATATATATATATATATATATATATATACACACATATATATATATATATATATACACACACAGATATATATGTATATACACAGATATATATATAAATAACAGAATCACTTTGCTGTACACCTGAAACTAACACAACATTGTAAATCAACTATACTTCAAAAAAAATAATGAATAAATAAATAAATGTGTTCTCTTTAAGTAGCATTAAAAAAATCTTAAACTTTTATCTATGTGTCAATCTAGATACAGGCTTTTACATGGTTTCGTCTTTCTGTACCTTTGTTGTATTTAAGTGTAGATGGTGTCTAAATTTCTCTCCCTGCTGTGTATGAGTTGCTTTGCTAGTCACTGTATATAGATGGGATAAAGAGAGTCACTGAGTTATAAATTGAGACGTGTCTCTTTGAATATGTATTACCCTTGAATGGGACTGAGCTGACCTCATTCAGAACAGAATCTGTCTACACTCTCTGTAAAATCCAAGGTCTCATATAAATTAATGGTCTTCTGATGCTTGAGGCTTAATGGAACATTCACAGCAATGCTTACCTTTTTCCTACTTAATTAATGCTCCTTACCATTTTGCATATACAGATTTCTTTATTCTCTATAGTTCTAACCATTTTGTGGCAACCAAACACATGCTATCCGCAGAACAATTAGATATGTTGGCAAGGAAAGCTGTTGCTGGATCCCCAGCCTACTTTCTTATCACGGCTTATCATTCACATTAGGACAAAAATATGTTTAAGGTGTATTAACATTTTCTTAGTTATAATGGGTTCTATAATGGGTTCTAGGATACATAATGATGGGTTGTAGGATACGATTTTATCCAATCAACCACATAAAACATCTTGACTTTCCACCTTAATTGCAAATTATGTTAAATATACTGGTTTCAAAGTCACCACTCTAGCACATAAAAATAATAATAGAAAGAAGAAAATCTCCATGTGCCCTGCCACCGGGAAGAATCCAGTACTCCACTTAAGAGACTGCATATTAGCTCCATCGTGCAGTGACAAGCTCAGAGTGTGTCTGATCCCCTCCTCATGGCACCAGTCACCCGCTGGTTCTCATTCAGTTAAAGAGGAGAGCCACAGGGAAGTCGCTGCTGGCACAGCAATTTTCTGGAAGGACTGGGCAGCTGCCGCCTGTGAGAGCTTGCATATCTTCCACCTGATTTCATCCAGGGCAAGAAACTAGAGCCTCACGCTGACTGTCTCGCTGGAGGTGAAGCAAAATGCATGCATCAAATCCACTTGTATTAACCTCTAGCTGGCTTCTCTGTCTCTGCGGGAGATTTCCAAATTTTTAAATTACACCTCTTTCGGAAAGACAGATACCATTTGATATTGCTTATATGCGGAATCTAAAAAAAAATGATGCAAATGAACTTATTTACAAAACAGAAACACAGTCTTAGAGAATGAACTTATGGTTACCAGGGGCAACGTGTCGGGGTGTCGAGGGATAGATTGGGAGTTTGAGATTGGCATGTACACACTGCTATATTTTAAATAGATAACCAACAAGGACCTACTGTATAGCACAGGGCACTCTGCTCAATACTCTGTAATAACCTAAATGGGAAAAGAATTTGAAAAAGAATGGATATATGTATATGCCTAACTCAATCACTCTGCTGTACACCTGTAACTAACACATCACTGTTAATCAACTATCCTCCAATATAAAATAAAAATTAAAAAAAAACAGCATAAAAAAATTACACATCTTTCTTCTTAAGCATTAAAAACATGGCTGCTGTGAACCAAAAGGGGTTCATTTTCTTATTTCTCAATACTTTCTCTATCAAACACAAGGGCGACCCTATGACAGATTTTAAATACAACAGTCAAATTTTTGTCCCAAATTTCCTCCAAGGTCACACAGCCTTATTAGGCTGAATGCTCTAACTTTTGTTTTAGAGAATGTGGCAATCTCACACGTCACGATTTTAAATACTGCTAAATCAGGTGCTTCAGGGTGGTGCAGGAAAGGATGGTTTTCATTTATTCATCCATTATTCATTCAATATTTATTGAACACTTATTACACTCATTACTACACTTAATACTACTTATTATACACAGGACTAGAGCCAGAAAAATATATGATATGGTCCTTGCCTCTAGCTGAGGTACATATGGTGTATTTTTGTTTTTTTGGCTGCGATGCGAGGCATGCAGGGTCTTAGTTCCCTAACCAATCAGGGATCCAACCCTCACCCCTTGCATTGGGAGCACAGAGTCTTAACCATTGGACAGCCAGAGAAGTCCCAATATGGTGTATTTTGAAAACATGTACATGCTGCTTCAACGTCCAAGAGGAAAATTATAAAATGCATAAAATTGTGAAGAATACACAAAATCAACTGTGAAAGCAATGAAACAGAAATCTTGGTTCTATTTGTTTTGTGACAGTTAAAGATGACAACATTTATGGAAACTTCTACTATGAAAATTCTAGAGCCTGTGCTTCCCCTTCATCCCAAGAGTCATGTTGCATTTTCTGGTAACAGAGGAAGTGAAAAATACAAACAGACCCACACATGTAGAGTAAGGGGCTCAGAAAAGGCTTCTAGGGGAGGTCAGGGAAGACTTCTGAGGAGGAAACGTTAAGCTGAATAGACTTAGCCAGGACAGAAATGGGAATGAATTGTCTACTTTTGAGATTAGAAAAAATACAAGACCATCTTTTCTGAGATATTTTTGGGAAAATCGGGCGACCAGGGAATTCCCTTATTTTATTAAATTTATTTTATTGAAGTATAGCTGATTTACAATGTTGTGTTAATTTCGGCTGTAGAGCAAAATGATTCAGTTATACGTATAGATACATTCCTCTTTTCATATTTTTTCATTATGGTTTATCACAGGATATTGAATATACTTCCCTGTGCTCTACAGTAGGACCTTGTGGTTTATCCATCCTCTATATGATAGTTTACATCTGCTAATCCCAAACTCCAAATCCATCCTTCCCCCAACCCTCCTCCCCCTTGGCAACCACAAGTCTGTTCTCCATCTCTGAAGTCACTCATTTTTAGACATTTGGTTGGTTACACAGAAATGTTCTACATTCAACAAGCCATTATTGGGATCTATTCCATAGGATGTTTTGTGGGAGGAAAAGTAGGAGAGAAAGATGTTTGGATTGATTTTTAGGTGATTTGTGGGGAAAGGACTAAGAAATTGGGCAGGTTACACTTGAACTCTATGTGGGGACAGAGGGCAAGGCTCACAGCTGCATCCTGCCTGGTTTCTTGGCGAGAAGAGGCCAAGGGACTGTCCCAAGATGCTGATGGGTCCTTGAGACACTCTGTTGGTTGTATGGCTAAACTGGTTCTGGAACGTGTTCTGGTGGGAAGACAAGATGACATTGATCATTTCCGAAGGAAATCAGAATGATACAGTAGGCACTGATACAATAAGATGTTAGAAGCTTTGTAACCTTAAGCCAGTTATTTAGAGTTTCTGAACCTGAGTATTCTCATCTATAAAACAGATTTAAGAATCTACT